CTAGCATCAGTCTTTGCTTCATTACCACGTACGACTCGTGGTCAACCAATTGTATTAGGTGCTGATCCAAAAGGAAAAACATTTTTATATACAAATGGCAATAGTGTTTTCATTCGTAATATTGAAGTTCGTTTAAATTTCTTTTTCTGTTTGTTTATTTCTTGGAACTCGTATATGTTTTCGAAGAAAATAGTAGTTAGAATCAAAATTTTGACGGCTCTCCTTCAGTCTTTAGCAACTGTGGAAGTGGTAGGGAAAAAGCCAAAGATCATACAGTACTTTTACCTAGTAGGCAGAGTCTAAGTCAATCACCGTTGGCTGTGTTTTCATAGTGACGGAAGAAAACGTGCCACGAAGATGCTAACTAGTCTAACTGTTCGCGTTTTAGTATTTTATGTAGCAAAAGAACTTTATTGTAAGTGTCATTTAGTAAAACGGTAATATTATTGATCTATCAGAGTTAGAATAGAAGGGACACAGAAAAGTATGAACTAATTGAATTCTAAGTCTAGGTAAAACTCAAAAATGAATGTTAATGTTTGTTCAGATAAAGGATCATGTGCTCAAAAGCTTACTGAACGATTAAATCAATGTGGACGGTAGGCTAATATAGTAATTGAAACAAAGAATAAAATAACATTTGCCACTTCCTGTTACATGTATCACATATATGATCATTAGAAGAAAAGAAGTTATGTAATGACGATGTATCTGCCAATACAAAAATAAGTTTGGTTCAATATAACGATGTTAAATAAATATAATAAGTTAGTAAAATAGTAATTCTAATTACAAACAATTTCGAAATGAATAAGTTTCGCAGCGTGTATATTAACTATTAAAATTGTTATAGTTGTGATTTATTAATTTGTTTAGCATTTTTTTTTTGGAGAAATTATTTTAACCGTTTGACCTTTACAAGTGTTACTTTCTATTTATTTTATAAGGTAAATATGAGTACAATCTTTATATTTATAAAGTAAAGATAAAAGAAAGAGTAAAGAAAGGTTTCTTTCTGTTCCATATGATAACTACTACTGGTATATAGATCAGTACAAAGTCCGTCGTATTGGTGATTCTTCTTTGAAAGTGTTGTATTAAAACGGATGAATCGTTTTGAAGACTGTTAAAACTAACAGAATTTAGTTGTTTGTCAATGCACTCCATTCACGTTGATTCTTCTGAGCTGTCTGTACTAATCACAGAGCTCAGATCAATTCCAATCATGAGACAAATTATTATTATAGAAAGCGTTGCAAAATAGATTTGTTAATAATATATATTCTTAAATGATTTCCTTTGGGTTAATTTGAGTTCTTTCTAAGAGCAAAAATTCAAATTTGAGTAGAAAATATTCTCTGTAATCGTTCATAGCTGGTATCAAAAGTTCTAAGCATTATCGCCGGCTGTGCGAACAAGCGTGCGATATAGGGTGACAGGTAAATAGACAAATACCTAATATAACAACAGAGTATATTAATCAATATTCTTATCACGAACATCACTTTGATATGTGACATTATTAAAAAAATGAATGCAAAAAAAAACTTTTCTGTATATTTTATTCGTATCTATGGCATCATAAATTTTTATGAGCTACTTGGCAAAAATTCGGAATTAACTTCTCATTAAAAATAAATTTCCTAGGTATAAAGAGCGATAAAAATAAAGTAACATTCACTAGTGATAATATACCATAAATTTATAACAAGTAGAGTTTAGTGAATTCCACACTTTGGCTTTTTATGTGGCTGAATTGACAAATGTTTTCATAGGAAATTATTTCAAATAGGATCCATCACAATGTGAAGTCTACACAGAACATTCAACAGCTGTACAATGTGCTAAATATTCACCTAGTGGATCATATATTGCTTCAGCTGGTATAATCATATTAATTACATAATTAGTTTAATTAAATTTTCTTTTAGATGGTCATGGTAAAGTTCGTATATGGGGTGCTGATAATAAAGAACATATATTAAAAAATGAATTTCAACCATTTTCTGGTTGTATAAAAGATTTAGCTTGGACAAGTGATAATCAGCGTATTATAGTTGGGGGCGAAGGAAAAGAAAAGTAAAAATTTTAACCATACTAAAACAAAAACACTTTGTTATATATTTTTAAAAAAATATTTCAAGATTTGGTCATGTATTTTCTGCTGATGCTGGTAATTCTGTTGGTGAAATATCTGGAATGACAAAAGCAATAAACTCAGTTGATTTTAAACCAACTCGTCCATTTCGTGCCATAACTGGTAGTGAAGATAATGCTGTATCATTTTTTGAAGGACCACCATTTAAATGGAAAACAACAATGTCTGATCATGAAAAATTTGTTCATGTTGTTCGTTATTCACCTGATGGAGAAAAATTTGCATCAGGTGCTGCTGATGGACGTGTATGTGTTTATATGTGAACTGTCTTTTTTTTGTTTACTCAAAGTTAAACTTTTTTGTATTAGGTGATTTTATATGATGGAAAAACAGGTGAACGTTTATCGGAATTAGGCTCACCTACAGCTCATACTGGCTCAATTTATGGTTTATGTTGGGATTCAACAAGTCGTTTTATTTTAACTGCATCAGGTGATAAAACAGCAAAAATTTGGGACATTACAACTGGTTCAGCTATTCAGTTAGTTGATATATATTTTAAAAAAATGTCAAAATACTTCTTTTTTGTTTATTTGTTTTTGCTATTCATTTAAGAACATATACATTTGGCACTGATTTAAAAGATCAACAAATTGGTTGTCTATGGTCTGGAAATCATATTCTTTCAGTTTCACTTTCGGGTCAAATAACATATCTTGATCGAGATGGAAATAAACCATCTCGTATTATTCGAGTAAAAATTTATTCGTAAATTATTTATTTTACTAGGGAATAATTTTTCTAGGGTCATAATAAAAGTATCACTGCTTTAACTGTAGCTCGTAATGAAAGTCAAGGCACAAGAATTTTTAGTGCTAGTCATGATGGACTTGTTGTTCGTTGGAGTATAGATGGAAAAGAAATGAATAATATTACTGGTGATTGTCATACGAATCAAGTACAATCATTAGCAAGTAACTCACGTGGTTTAGTAGCTTCAATTGGTCTTGATGATACACTTCGTTTATTAAATTCGTCATGGGAATCATATGAGTAAATAAATTCTTGCTCTTTTTGTTTTATATTAAAATTACATTGACTCCAAATATTGATGGTGTAGATTTAATTTCGATTTTTTTCCCGAATGTTAGCTGATATAAAGAATTCAAATAGTGATTTGGATAGAGAAATATGTTTTCAATAAAAGACTTGAGGGAAATAAAATCCCCACTGTATTTCTAAAAGCAAGAGTCTCTAGAAAATCGAAAATCTGACTTTTCAGCACTCAAAATTAGACTTGTATAACTTTCACTGAATTTATTAATCGGAATTGTATAGTTGCCCCGAAGATAAGAGACATTCTTTTTCTAATTTTTTTGTATTGGGTGACCAGTGAGCCTTACACATTTCTCAAACGACTAGAATATGCTCGGACTTCGACCTCATAAACTCTACTCAGCATCATAAAATAAAAGTTTCTTTTGAGAACACAGGGTGATAAAACAACTAATTCTCTAGAAAATGATGTGTCTAAGAACTCTCTACTACTATTTATTGATTGAACTACATCAATTTCAAGCAAAGCATAAAAGTTTTTATTCTCTTTTTTTCCATAGGAAATGGCTAAAAAGATGTCGTGAAGAATTCGGAAATATTTCATTTTTTAGAGAATCAGTTGCTCTATCACCCTGTGTAATCAAAAGAAATTTGCATTTTGGAATTCAGAATGATAAAAAAATAGAGTTTGAAGTTTTCTAGAGACAATACAGTTTGGGGTATGATGAAGATTTCATTTTTCTCTCAAATCTTTGTTGGAAACAAATTTTTCTATTCAAATCATTATTTGGTTGCTTTATACCGGTTACCATGCGAGAAAAAATCGAAATTAAATCTGTATGATCAAATTTTATAGTTACTATATTTACAAATTGACTTTAGTCGAATGGAAAAATTAGCTGGTCAACCACGTGGTATAGCTATAAATGATTCAAATATTATTTTTATTGTATGTGGTTCAGCCGTATGTATGTATCGCGAACAACAAGGTGTTCTTATAACGCATCCATTACCATTTGAACCAACATCAATTGCTGTTTCACCACAAGGTACACAAATCGCCGTTGGTGGAAAAGTAATTAATGATAAATAGTAATTCCATTAATTATTCTTCATTTATATAGGATAATAAAACTCATATATTCACTGTTGATGGTACAGCATTAAATGTTCTTCGTGAATTAGAACAACGTGATATTGTTGTTCGTGTTGCTTATTCACCTGATGGACGATTTTTTGCTAGTGCTGATAATATGAAAAATATAACATGTTATCAATTACCAAATTTTGAGCCGATGAGTCGTGATATGTGGCGTTATCATGCAGCAACAGTAACTGATCTTGCATTTAGTCCTGATGGAAAAAAATTAGCATCAGTTGCTATTGATACACATTTAATGATTTATCAAACTGAAAATATTACAAAAGTGACACAAGTTAAAGGTAAAAATTAAATGGGGTTTCTTTAATATTTACATGTAATTTTTCTTTTTTCAGGTGCTCATCCACTTAATCCGGTTACATGTTTAACTTGGTTAGATAATGATACATTACTAACCGGTGGTAATGATTGTTGTCTACGCAAATGGACTGTCAAATGTTAGTCTTTATGATATATATCTTTTCTTTTTTTTGCTAATTCGTTATTTGAATAATTCATTTATTATAGAACAATCCTTGCTTGTTTTCACCATTTTGATTGTATGTTGTATGACAAAATCTTCTTTTTCTCTTTTTATGTAACCTTCTTTTCTTTTTTTTTGCTCTATGATGTATCAAACTCTTTTAATTGCAAAGAAAAACTTTAGATTCAACATTTAAGGACAATTTTTTTTACATATACTTTCTATTGAGATACATTTGTTAGTTGTCTACGTAGTTTATCGAGTAAGAGTAATTGAGGACCAAAACAGTTGACCATTTCTAATGTATCTAAAGGAGATGCATTTGTTATTATTGAAAAATCGTAAGGCATATTCAGAGCTGGAGCTGGTACAAATGGAATAGGAGCAAGAATCGTTGCAGGATTATTCATTGATGGTGCTAGTACCACGTGGAACTTGATAAAATCTTCAAGAAGACTTAAAAACCGAGAGTAAATACTAATAGATAATCTTGCTTTATGAATCGATATTAGCTCATTTTTGAGTACAGAATATGCTCGAAGTCTGTGATTTGTACACATTTTGTATAATTCCATCAATGCTCGACCATTCATCGCTTCACATAATGGTATTATGGAATTTAAACGATGAGCCGAGAGAAAATCTAATACATCCAGTTCGGTCCATTCATTAATTGGCTTTCGAATAAAATTAAGTGTTGATTTTCGAGCTTTGAATGTTGATGATACCGCATCTTTATTTACAGCCGAATTTTTCGGCATAATTTCAGGTGATCGTTTCTTATTTTCTTGAACAAGTTTAATTGCAGTCGATATTTTTTCTGCCGGTTTTTCATGATCTGATGGATCGATCATTACAGCTGGCACAGCCTGTTGTCTTTGTAAATTAATTTCTGTCATTAATTTCTCACATGCTGTATCGAAATCATATCGACCAAAATCGATATATATTCTTGATCCAATCATAAATCCTAACCAACCATCTGGTTTATAACCTTGTCTCATGACTAACGGAAGAAGACGTCGTTTACATTTAAATGCATATTCAGCTTCAGCTTGACAATATGTACTTTGTTTATACGAATCTGACATACACAAAATGACAAATTCTGAATTTTCAACAGCATCAGCCATAGCACTCATTGCTAAACACGAAAAGGAATTCAAAAATAATTTATTCAGCTTATTTATCAGTGTCTTACCTGGTCCATACATATTATTCAAATCAATCCATACCTTAAAATTTTGATTAACAAGATATTGCTGTATTTTATAAGTTAGTTCTTTATCAACATGACAATATGAGATCATAATATCATATTGATATGAACGTTCAGTTGGCGTTGCACTGCGCTGTTTTGTTGTTCGAACTTGTCCTTTTTTATCTGACCCTAGTTGTACTTTTGTTTTTGTATTTATTACATTTACATGCGCTTTCTGTTCTTCTTCTTGTTTTTCCACCTTTTCTAAGAATACTGGTTCTACAATATTTATGCATATAAATATATCTATGTCAAATATTAAAGAGAAATATGATATACCTTGTATAAGTTTCCAAACGAGTCCATCAACTGCTTTTTTCAATGGTTCATTGTTGTTGTCCTTCGATATAGTTTGAATTTTGTCAAGAAAATTCGAATCAGCACGTAGAGCACGAGCGATTTCTTCGATGAATGTTAAACACCATAAAATTTCAAATATTAATATCAATGCTCTTCTGGTTAATTGATTCGTACATTCGAGAAGAAATGGAAGTGCATTTTGTTTTATAATTTCATCTTTTATTTGATCATGTTGAACTAGACCTGACAAAAAAAAAGAATATTTTAGAAATTTTTTCTCGGAAAAAATGTGAACCAGTTTATTTCATTCTTCTGATCAAGAAAAACATGTCTGAAAAACAATTGTTCACAAAAAAAACCATACTTCATCTTAATCAATTTTACTTACAAAATAATCTAAATGAAAAGAAACAGCATAAAAAAAATGTTTCTTACCTTTCAAAGTTTCAAGTAACTGTTCTATTTCAGTTCTCTTTTCAGGTTTTCGATTGAGTGTTGTTTTTAGGGATGCAATAATTGTAGCAAGTAATCGACCAGGATTATGCATCGCTTTAATATCTTCTTCATATGTTGTGTATGCAAGAAGAGTATAAACATTGAGTACTAATGATTCGTGTTGACATGATGTTAAACGAAGAAATACAGATGTTACTGAAGATTCTTTTATTTGAGCAAGTATAGCTGGTTCACTGATCATGTTTACAAGAAAACTAATGGCTGTATTCATAAAATTCGTTTCTAAATTCAATAATGATCCTTGTAGATTATTATAAAATATTGGTTCATCGAGCAATTTTAATACATGATCAATTAATGATAAATGTTTACTAACAAGTTTTGCATTTATTTGAAATTGACTTGCTCCATGATTGATTATTTGTAATAGTTGATTGACAGCTTCAATTGTTGATTGGTTCCAATTGTGCACTGTAGGAACTATCTTATCTAATAATGTTATATATTGTGGTAGCATAACTGAAAGTAGATTTTCGATAATTTGTTCGAGGCGAGACCCTATAAATAATATCAAAGAAAAACTCTATTTTTTTATGTGTTTAGAAAAAAATAGTAAATGAGCCGTTACCATTGTATGAAGTGAGAAATGACGGACATTTAAGCAGGAAAAACTCTTCAATAGTTGTCATTGATTTTTCTTCTTGTGACATAGTTGTAAAAGTTGTAAGATAATGAGATGAAGCGAGACATTGTACTATAGGATCAATTAATAGCAAAAACATATCTTTATTTGAATGATTTTTATCATTTAAATGTTGATAATCAGTGTATGCTTGAATTAAATATGTGAAAATTTTTAATTGACGAGTATTTTTATCGTCGAGAAACTTTGCTGAAATGGCTATATCAATAAGACAATTAGCAATCGTTTCAAGCAAGGTAAAATCAGATATCCATGACGGAAGATAATTAATGTTTTGAATATTATTGATTACTATACTTATTATTTTAGTCGTAGAACGAAACACAAAAGATTCGAGATCTGGTAGAGATGAGAGATGACACCATCGACAAAGTATATCAATGAAGGCTACTTGAAGTACAGAAAAAAACTTATTCTGTGAAACAGATGCTAATATTGATGGACGAACACATATAAGTGCATCAAGAATTTCAACAAAGTTGAACCATTGTTGTTGGTCATTATTATAAGAATTTTTCAGTGCAAGTGTAAGTTTTGTCAGTAGATCAGTTAGTTCTTCGTCAGAGATGATATCGGATTGGTCTCGTAAAATATAGCAATATTGCTTGATTGAAGAAAGAAATTCCGATTGTTGGTTTTCATTAACAGTGTCGGAACGTTGAGAAGTCAATACTGAGGGTTTTAACGATTGTTTCTTTATGACATGTTGATGTTTGTGATGTTTTCGTAATTTATGTCGATGGGTTTTTACGTGTTTGTAATCATCATACAATATTGGCAATGTTTGGGTAGAATTTATGTCATTGTATGTGTGTTGTGTGATAATTTTCGATCGTGACCATTGATTTTCATCATGTAAAGGTGTATTTATCTTTTGAGTTGATGGAACCTGTTCGTTGGAAATGATAAACGATTGTGATACTTCGTATGATGGTAATGGATTTGAATAATAATGAAAACAAACTTGTGATTGGTTGGTATGTGAAAAATGTGAATGATAACTGGTTGATATATTCAAGGACATCGCTACCAAACAATAAGCTGAATTGTACTGAGTCGCTTTTGTTTCACACGGTCCTTGTCTTGTTTATCACTTTTCCACATATTTTTATAGAGAAGATGAAAAATAAGAACGACAACACGAAAAACAAACCCTTTGAAGCGAAACGAGGTGTAAATAAAGTAGAAAAGGATTATGTTCGTAATCACCAACTTTCAAGGTGTAATTCATTCGATGTCAACAAGAACACAATAGAATAATTGATAATTTTGTGTTGAGTAATGCATATTGTATCAATGACTAAGGAGAAAAAGTGATTTCTCAGGAACAAACAAATTGAATTTTTTTATTTTGATTAGTAGTAAGAGATATCAATTAGAGATTAGACTTTTTTTTCATGAAGTTCACATCAATATGATTATGTTAATAATGACAGACAGTGTCACTCACATGTGCAGGTAAAAAAGAAAAGAACAGAGGCAACATTGCATGACAAATAAGCTTTTCTTCTATTTATTATTGCTACTATTAATAGAACATATTAGATATTGTAATTATAAGTTTAATACATCGGAAAAGAATCACAATAAAATGCAAGATTTTCATGTATAGTTTGTTAAAAGCAAAGAAAAGTTCAAAGCATATATCATATTGACTTTTTTCAATGATGAAATTTATTTATTTTATTTTTCAGAAATATGATGATAAACTAAATCACAATACAAACTCTTTATTGTTGAAAAACTTTGACAATTAGAAAAAAAGATATTTTATAAAGATAACGCAAAAATCATCGCCAGCTTGTTTAAAAATGTGATATTAAGAAAAACTTTCGTTTAAAATTAGATTGATGAGGAAACCTCTCCAAGTGTCAAAAAACTTTTCGATCAAGATGATATTCATTCGATGAGTACTTGTGAGTGATATAAAAGGCTCGAATGGTTTGGTTTTTCAGAGTCTTCATTCTTCATATATTGAAGTTTTAGTGAATTTTCCAATAAAAAGTGGTAGCCGGTTTCTGATCACTTGAAAAATTGACTTTCGATTTTTGACTTCAAACATGGCATGAGTAAAGTGTTTAAAGAGATTAATTGATTGTACAAGTTTTAGCTTTTCTAGTATTTCCTTTCTGAAGATGTAAATATATGAACAAACTTTGTTTTTACATATAAGAGTAGTTTTTTTTGCACAAGTACGGTTTCCGCACTCGGATCTGGACCGAAGTTAATCAAAATCCGAAAGATACTCTCATAGTCATAGTAAAATTTTCAAACTTTTACTTTATATGAAGACGTATATTGATTCAGGACTCACTTAGTATATTTCTGCTTCTAAAATCCGATCGATTTCGCTTATTATACGTTCGCTTGTATCTGATGATGATGTTCGAATGAAACGCATTGCTGTTATGAAACATCATTACTGTCGGCACATACATAAATATTTTCTCCATTAAGATAAAACATGTTCACCTTCTAGTTAGCTCATTGTTCTCTAGATGTATTCAATTACTTCATCATATAGTTCTTCATTATATGTACATAAATTTGCATTAAAAATGAAGTCTCTTAGTAGAACAATATTTCTTTTAACTTTTGTGACCTGTTCTCAAGTGCAACAAATTGCTCGATCATAATCGAACCGGCTTTCCTATGCTTTTATTTATATAGTCGTTTGTAAAGTAAAAATATTTGAAAACGTCGAGATCTCATACATTGCCGGTGTCAGGTGCTGTATGCTCAACCCGGATGCAGAACACTACATAAGAGAGTTTCCAATAGCCCATATCTCACAATAGGAGCTACTAGAAAAGTTACAACTTGCTCAATGAACTAATCTCATCGAGAATTCACTTCATGGAAAGTTTGAAACCGAAAACTCTAACATTAATTTTTCAAGTATCTTGAGGATGACTACAGCTTTTTGTTGAAAAACTCAGTCGACTTTCAATATCTCACGAATGAAGGCTCAAAAAACCAAACCATTTTAAACGTTTCGATTATTTACTAGTACTCAATAAATAGACGTCGTCTCGATTGAAAAACAATTTGATACCTGAGGAGGTTTCCTTATTAGATTCATATTCAAATAGATAACAGTTTCTTCAAGTTTGGACCATACTGTTCTACTGCTTTTAATAGCTGCAAACTTGAAGCATTAGAAGTAATTGTAAGATCATATGGGCGATCAGAATATAATTGGTCGAAATATTGTTGATCAGAGTTAGAGTCATATTGAGATGAACCATTATTAACTATTGATGTATTAGGAGTATATGAAATATATTTATATGGAGTAGTATATGTTATTTCAAACGGTTCTTCTACTATTCGCAATGATGTTGGAGGACGTGTAGTAAGTCGTTTTTCCATAGCACTTAAAAATCGGGTAAAAACTGTAATATGTAGTTTCTTTTTATATGTCGATTTCAACTCATCATCAAGAAGAATAAATGTTTGACTACTTTGAGATTTACACATTCCATACAGTTGTATAATTGCTGGACCATCCATTGCTTTACATATCGGCATCAATTCAGTTAAATTTTCAGTAAAAAGAAAATCTAATACATCAGAATCTGTCCAGTCATTTACATATTTTTTAATAAAATTTGACGCTGGTTTTCGATTTATATCCATAGGAACTACATCATGATCATAAGTGATTGATGTTTTGAGTTTATCAGAAATTACTTCCGTTGGTTTTTCATGCTGACTCACTTGGACTGATTTTGATGGAAGAGGTTGTTTACGTTGATGACTAATTTCTGTAATTAACTTTTCACAAGCTGTATCAAAATCAAATCGACCAAAATCTACGTATATTCTTGATCCAATCATAAATCCTAACCAACCATCTGGTCTATATCCTTCTCGTACTATTAATGGAAGAAGCCGTCGTTTACAATTGAATGCATATTCAGCTTCAGCTTGACAATATGTACTTCGTTTATACGAATCTGACATACACAAAATGATAAATTCTGAATTTTCAACAGCATCAGCCATAGCATTCATAGCTTAAAATTAAGATAGAATGAATTCGATTAAAATAATGGGAACTATTTTACCTGGTCCATACATATTATTCAAATCAATCCATATTTTAAAACCTTGATCAACAAGAAATTTATGTATTTTATAAATTAAGTCTTTATCAGCATGACAGTACGAAATCATCATATCATATTGAAATATTCGTTCATCAGAAGTATTTGCTGATTGTATTGTTCTTGTCACAAGTTGTTTTTCACCAGCACTATTTATAATTTCTTCAGTTATTGTTTTCACCCCTTGATTTGTATTATTTTGTTCTTCTGCTTGTCGTTTTGCTATTCTCTCCAAATTTTCAGGTTCTAAGATATGTGCATAAATATAAAGACATTTTAATTGATATGTCTATATTAAAATTTATATTAAATACCTCGTACAAGTTTCCAAACAAGTCCATCAACAGCTTTTTTCAATGGTTCATTATTACTATCCTGAGAAATAGTTTGAATCTTATTAAGAAAATTGCTATTGGAACGTAGAGCAAGTGCACCTTCTTCACGAAATGTCAAAGACCATAAAATTTCAAATATTAATATATTTGATTTATCAGTTAACTTGTTAGTACATTCGAGTAGAAATGGAATTGCATTTTGTTTTATAATTTCATCTTTCATTTGATCATGTTGAACAAGACCTAAATGACACTATACGATTTGATATCATTGTTCGAATGATGGAAAAACAGCAATACTAGCTTTACATCCATCAAGCAAAAATAATTGATCTAAGTATTATTATGATCTCTTTGTGATTGATATTCAAAAAAAGAAAAGAAAAGAAAAGAATATTTCTTTTGAAATAGTTGCATGCGCTATATGTGTGTGGTATTTGTATTCATTGTACTATACTTGACACCATAGTATAATGGTATCTCGATGTTTTTGTGAATATCTTAAGAACGAAAGTAGTTAGAAACTTGCAACTTTTACCATGCGAAAGAGACATATAGTCGACTTGAAACTTTGCTGAGTTGTTTGAGCTATGTATTGGTTAACCTGCTGAGCTTTTGCTGTAGACTCTGATCGGAGCTGCTCGAAAATCCTTTCTTGACTAAAAATGAGTTCTAATTTAGAGAACTGATAGCGAAGAAAATTTTCTGTCGATCTATACAAAATTACTTTTTCTAGTTTATTCTATTCTGAAATAATAATAGTTTTTTTGAAATACTTGCAGACAATCAACTGATCAATGGTCATTCTAGGCTATGTTGACTTTATAGTATTCGTCTACGTCGAACTTAATGGGGATCTTTGTATTTAGTTTTGAAATGATCTAACGTCAGAAAGACAGATCTTGAAAATACTCCCTCTAATGTTAAAAGTTTTCAATAGAATGAATTACAAAAATCATAATCTAGAAACGCAAGACCATATTGAAACTAGACAATACCACTATTGGACTCAGTGTAGAAAAATATACCAAGCTCAAAACAATTTAGAGTGACTAGTGAACAGGTGGTCAATTTCAAGGCTTTCCATAAAACGCTTATAGCTTCAAAATGAAATAAGCTAGAAAGATCAGTCTTGCATACATCGATATCAGTCTACAGCAAAAACTACTCAGCTTGACCAACACATAGTTCAAACAAGTCAGCAAAGTTTCACCTCTTCTCATATTTGTCTTTCGAATGGTGAAAACTGCAGGTTTATAGCTGCTTGTGTTCTTGAGATATTCAAAAAATATCGAGATGCATATTTTGACGTCAAGAATACTTCAAATTAGGGAACATAAAGAGAGACAATCTTAATTCAATGATTTTAAGAGTAGAATCCAGGTCAATAAACGAGTAGTTTGTCAGCATGTCTAATGACATTGCACGCAATCATCTTCTAAATGAAAGTTCATATGAGAGAGATATGTATAAAACAAATTACCTTTTAAAGTTTCGAATAATTGCTCTTGGTGACTTGTATCATTAGACGATTCATCTAATGTAGTTTTTAGTGAATTAATAATGTTTTCAAGTAGTTGACCAGGTTTATGCATTTGTTTGATGTCTTCTTCACGTGTCGTATCAGCTATAAGATTGTAAATATTGAGTACTAATGGTTGATATTGACATGATGTTAAGCGAAGAAATACAGGTGTTACTTGAGATTCTTTTATTTGAGCAAGTATAGCTGGTTCACTGATCATGTTTACAAGAAAACTAATGGCTGTATTTATAAAATTCGTTTCTAAATTCGATAATGATCCTTGTAGATTATTATAAAATATTGGTTCATCGAGCAATTTTAATACATGATCAATTAATGATAAATGTTTACTAACAAGTTTTGCATTTATTTGATAATGATTGGCTCCATGATTGATAGTTTTTAATAAATATTGAACAGATCGAATCATTGCCCGTTTCCAATTGTGTGCTGTAGGAACTATCTTATCTAATAATGTTACATATTGAGGTAGCATAGTTGAAAGTAAATTCTCCATCGTTTGTTCCAGACGAGACCCTATGGATAGAATCGAATAAAAAATTTATTCGTCTCATGTATAGAAAAAAAAATAGATGACAATATTTCTGATTACCAACTTTTTTCAACATTTAATTCACACTACTATTTGCCAATAAAGTGTAGATGCTGCTCGAAATCAACAACAATCTCACCTTGACACACTTCGATACCGTCACCCTCACACTCACATTCAGTTGTGTTCTTTACTGTCAATAAGAGTAATCAATGAAGAGTAACGTTTGCCTGAATAACAAACCAAATATAGTGTATAGAGTAAACAATAAATAAATATATATATAAAGGGTGTTTCATAAGTAACGACCTCAACTTAGGGAATAAAACCCGTAAAAATGGAATCGTTACTTATGAAACACTGTTAATATATAACGACAGTAATCAAGGAAACCATATTTTGGTACTTCTTCAGATCAGCAATATCACGATCCCCACACTCTTTAATGTACTCGGTCAGTTAGACTAATTGATAGATAGGGTATCAACGATCTAGAGATGAACCATATTTTTCAGTGAACATGCAGTTTCTCTACAGATACACACGCTCAATTTACTAATTAATTTTACATACATTAATCTGTTTGATCGCTGAAAATAAAGTTTCTAAATGTGCGTGATGATGTGTGTGAACAATCTAGAAGCACCCAACAAGAAATAAAATGTGTCTGGATCATCAAAATTGTCTAACTACAAAAGGATCTCCAATAGTCTGAGTATGAACGTGAGTGAACAGAAAACCTCTTCAGCATCCACGCTCATACTCATTTTCATTTATAATAAATTTGATGTTAAAAAAATGCTTACCCTAATAAACAATTTCTACTCGAAAAACAAAATTGGTTATCATAAGTACTTTTCCTCAAAAAAATAGTAAGCATAGTTACCATTGTACGAAATGAGAAATGATGGACATTTAAGAAGTAAAAGTTTTTCAATAGTTGTCATTGATTTTTTATCTTCAGATATATTTGTAAAAGCATTAATATAATGAGATGAAGTGAGACATTGTAGAATAGGATCTAGTAAGAGTACAAATGTGTCTTGATTAGAATGACTTTCATCGTCGAAATATTCTTGATAAAATATATATGTTTCAATTAAACGTGTGAAGTATTTTAACAGGCGATTATTTGTATCATAGAGAAATTTTTCTGATGTGGCTATATTTGTAAGACAATCGGCAATTATATTTAGAAACATTGAATCTAACAACCATGAAGGTAATACTTCGTTGGCATCCGTAGCTTTGATGAATCGTTTTATCAATTTAACTATTGAACGAAACATATAAATTTCGTTCTCCGTTAGAGAAGAAGAACGACGCCATCGTTGAAGCAAATCAGTAAATGGCATTTGAAGTAAAGTAAAAAATTTATTTTGTGCAACAGATAATAATGTTGATTTTGGAACACGACAAAGTGTCGAAATGAAATCTATAAGAATGAGTAATTGTTGTTGCGGATTTTTACGACGCATTTTTTTAAGTTCCTTTGGATGTTGGTCAAGTAAATTTTTCAATTCAGCATTAGATATTGTTTTTGGATCTTTATTTATGATAGAACTATGAAAACTAGTCTCATGTGCAGATAATGATGAATATGGTGGACTATTTAATTGTTGCGAAGGCTTCATTAAGTTCAATCCATATGGTTGATGGTAACGAGGAGAAAATTCTTGTCGCTTTTTATGAGCCGTATAAAATTGATCCATTATAGTTTTATCTTTGAAATATATTAAACATACTTATAAATGAGATGTTTATTCGAATGTAATAATCAAACAAGTGCTAGTATCTTTTTTTCAATATGAGTATAAATTTCTTACTTTACTTGAAGTTAAGTGAATTTGTATTAAGTTGTCAAGTAATATTTTGTATGAATGTTGTTAGTTAACTTAAATAGTAATAATTATTTTGAGAGTGATTGTATGCAACGAGAAAAGGAATCGATAATTAATACTTTTTGGTATATGAAAATATGAAAATAAAACTTAATTTTGTTTTTAAGGTAGCTATATTTAGATATCAACGAAGGCCATTTTATTTTTAATAAAATATATAGGTTTGCATCGATCAAATTGTGTTGATGAGTATTGTACACTATATAAAAACACAAAACTATTTAGGCGAAACTAATGAAGCGATCCAAATGTCAAATGCAACTCGTAAATTATTTTTTTGAATATTCGAAAGCAAAAGAACACATCGAATAGTGCTTTATTTATCAGAGATTTTTAACAGAGATGAAAAATGTTTGTACTAAAAAAATGCAAGGTAAAATAATATGCTCATGATATAAATGAAAGATAACCCTCGAGATATGGTCATGCTTTAGAAAACGATTTGATCGGCCACACCATTGGTCATAATTTCATACACATCATATTCATTAGGGTAAAATATTAAAAAAAAAGGTATGGTTCATGCTCGATTTGAAGCACTTTATCACGTGTTTTTGTTTGAATGTAATGGATGTTGCGCTAAGTGGTTTTTGCTAACTGTATTTGACTCATAAATTTATTGTAATCTATTTCAAATGACACAATAAACATGCATAAAGAGAAAAAAAGACACAAAAAAATGAGAAAAGATAAAAGAACGATGGAATAGTACAAGAATATAATAATATAACCTTAATACATTACTGTAAATGATGTCTTTTCGGTTTCTTTTGGTTATTGACATTTTTAATTAAACTATAGATCGTGGTTTCGTGGGTTATTAAAAAAGGCCGATGAAATCTTCGAAAAAATAATTTATTGACACACTTATATAAAGCCTTGAGAAATATCTATAAATAAGGTAAATGATAAATGACTACTTGATATTTTTAAAGCGAAGACATGATATTCAATCGTATAAAGGAATAAATATGAGATATATGTTGAAGGGAGTGACCAGCTTTTTCTTTGATTCGATTCAAAACTAATCGACGATATGTTAGACAATGTGTATGTTATGGTTTAACTATGGTGTTCCGTTGAAATTGCACATCATAACGTTCACTTGCGCTCGACTCTTAAATACAAGCAACGTTCGAAGTGATCACAAAATTATACGACATATGACAGTGCATAACATAGTGTTCAGTTACATTTTTCGAGGTGATCAGGAGCAATAATTTTATTTGATGATTTCTTACTTAGATTCGTTCTCAATATGGTCCGTTGTGGGTGACTCTCATTTCAGTCAAGATTCATCTAATTACATAGAAATCATAAGCCTTCAAGGATCTTCATGATTAAGAGACGGTCCATGAGGCCATCGAGCATCGTGCTGGATATCGAAGCACTCGATAAATTTTAGTTTTTTGATTTGATATTCTCATCTTGTTCAACATCATCTAAAACCTCTAAATCCAAATTTTTAGCGCATTTGGTTGAGTTGGTGAAAAGTTAGCTCAATTTTACTGTCGGACGTTCACGATAATATTTGAAAAATATCATCAAAAATCACTTGTATAAAGTGGAGATTTTTTCAATAACATCAAATTAACGAAATTTTTTGTGTAATATACCAAAAGATAGAGCATCGAAAGCTGAACAAAATTATCTATTTACATATTAGATTTCCATGTACTAATGCAGAGTTATTTACCAAATACTGTTCATGACTAGTCATTTTTCGAGTGAAAAATGTGTCATTTTTTTGCAGTATATTGGCTGCCACTCAGTCATTTTATGAGTCCCCAGACTGGATTTCACATATGTTGTACAACTTTTTCTCCTCTACAAAATGGCTAAAAAAAAGTTAAAACAAAAGTTATGTATCGAGTCGAAAAATGGCAAACATTACTCTTATATATGATGGTTTTTGATGGTTTTTCAAGAAAAACGAGATATTTTTAGCGATTTTCATTGCCATGACACAATCGTATAGCAAAATAGATATCTTATTCGGAATCACCGTTAAAAACTGCATCGAATCACATATAATTTGACAAAAAAATTTTCCCTCAAAAATTCACCTGTGGTCCCCCTCAGCTCTCTTTTTTAAAAATTTTGCCCCCTGGTCCCTCACGGGTCAGTTTTATGAGGGAAAATTTTTTTTTCAAATTATATGTGATTCGATGCAGTTTTTAACGGTGATTCCGAATAAGATATCTATTTTGCTATACGATTGTGTCATGGCAATGAAAATCGCTAAAAATATCTCGTTTTTCTTGAAAAACCATCAAAAACCATCATATATAAGAGTAATGTTTGCCATTTTTCGACTCGATACATAACTTTTGTTTTAACTTTTTTTTAGCCATTTTGTAGAGGAGAAAAAGTTGTACAACATATGTGAAATCCAGTCTGGGGACTCATAAAATGACTGAGTGGCAGCCAATATACTGCAAAAAAATGACACATTTTTCACTCGAAAAATGACTAGTCATGAACAGTATTTGGTAAATAACTCTGCATTAGTACATGGAAATCTAATATGTAAATAGATAATTTTGTTCAGCTTTCGATGCTCTATCTTTTGGTATATTACACAAAAAATTTCGTTAATTTGATGTTATTGAAAAAATCTCCACTTTATACAAGTGATTTTTGATGATATTTTTCAAATATTATCGTGAACGTCCGACAGTAAAATTGAGCTAACTTTTCACCAACTCAACCAAATGCGCTAAAAATTTGGATTTAGAGGTTTTAGATGATGTTGAACAAGATGAGAATATCAAATCAAAAAACTAAAATTTATCGAGTGCTTCGATTCCTCGATGGCCTCATGAACCATCTCTGAATCATTTAAAGAACAGATTCTTACACACAAGTTGAATATGAAAATTGAACAAGAAGCAACATGTAGCTTACAATTACATATTGTAGTGCATTTGCACTTAACTATCAAAGTTTACAAATAGTAATTTGACACAACAAAGCCAAAAAAAAAAGAAATTTGTTAAAAACTCCAATCAAACAACTTAATTTTTTTGCATTATAAATGTTGGTACCTTTGGGATTTTTCTTGTCATTCTCTTCTATATGAAATGTAATTACGAGTTATTGTAATTGGTACTGTAAGGGCCGAACTGAAGAATCATCGAATGGAACCAAGTCGGGGGATAAACTGCTGCTAGTAATAGAAAAGTAATATTCTGTCATTTTTTTATAGTACTCAAAAAAATTGAGATTTACACATTCTATATAATTGTACAACTGCTGACTATCTGTTGTTTCATATGAGGACATCAATTTAATTAAATTTTCAGTAAAAAAGTAAATCTAATACTTCAGATTCTGTTCATTCATATACATTTTTTCTAATAAAATTTAACATTAATTTTTCGTTTCATATACACAGAAAGTACATTATAATCATGAGTTTGTAGATATTTCAAGTTTATTTGAAATTATTTCATTTGCTTTTTTCATGCTGACTGTCTCTGATTGATTGATTTAAATGGAAGAGACTGTTGGCGTCAATGAGTAAGTTCTATAATCAACTATTCATAAACTGTATTAAGATAAATTCGATCACAATCTATGTATATTCTTGATTGAATCATAAAATCTAACCAACCATCTACTTTATATCCGTCTTTCATTATGAATGAAATACGAGGTGGTATATAATTCAATGCATATTCAACTTTACTTTGACATTATGTACTTTGTTTGTAGGAATTCCACATACATATTACGACAAATCTTTCAGTTTCGACTATATTAAGTATAAAATTGAACTTTAATCAAAAATTAAATAGTGGCTTGAACGAAAAAAAAAAGAAAAACTCGGGCTCTAAAATAAATATATGAATATTTTCGGATCCGTAGTAAGATTCGAAGTTGCCATAGAATACCGCTTATAAAGCACTATACAAATTCATTAGCTCTCTGTTGGTTGTTGATGCTTCATTTTTGTTGTTCTTAGAAATATTTTGAATCTTGTCAAGAAAATTCGAATCAGTAAAAACTACATATGTAAAACAAACAGTTTGTTGCTTTTCCGAGAGTCACATTATTATTCTATTTGAGTTGTTTTTTCAGATTTTCGATTGAGTGTTTTTATTTTATTGATTCAATAATTGTATAGCAAAAGATGAACCAGGATTGTGTACTGCTTTAATATTATCTTCTTCATATGTCATGAAAGCAAAAAAGGAATGTAAATTGTCAACATGAGTAGGTCATATTGATCTGATGTTAAGTGAAGATATACAAGTGTTAATGGAGATTTTTTTATTTAAACAAAAACAGCTAGTTTACTTAGGGCATTGACAAGGAAACTAATAATGATACTCATAGAAGTCATGTTTGGATTAGATAGCGTTTCATGAGGACTCTTAAAGAATATTAGTTGACTGACTAATTTCAAGACATAATTATTGATAAATGTCCACTGATAAGTATTTCATTTATTTGATATCTTTCAAAAATTTTTCCACATATAGAATCTTTCATCGTTTTCAATAGTGTGCTGAAAGAACTATCTTATCTTATGACATTGTCTAATGAGAAAGAATAGTTCCAATCAAATTCTCCATGGTTTGTTCGAGACGAGCTCTTATAAATAGCATCAAACATTAACTTTATTCTCTTCATGTATAGAAAAAAACAGTAAAAGAGCCATTATCATTGTAACAGGTATGGAAATGTTGAATATTTAATAAGGAAAAACTTTTCAACAGTTATCATTGAAGTGAGACGTCACAGGATAGAATTCAGTAATAGCATAAGCTTATTTTGAATAAAATGATTTTCATTATTGAAATCTT